TCACAAAGGCCAGATCATCAAAAGCAGACTAGTTGTGTGCTCCATGGCTAGATTAAAAATACAGATTTCTTTATTAAGTATCTTGCAGCTGACTGTGCCTCTTGGTTCGTCTCCATCTATTCAGACAATTAAATAAAGTCGGACAGTGGAAAACCACAGCTAATAAAGCAGGCGTGAATTGAAGTACAGCTGGCAATCTTTTTATTTATTCAGTGTACACAGTGACAATCTCTAAGAGGCAAGGCATGTGCCAGGATTTTTTTTTTCATTTAATATTTGTCCTCTTTCAAAGCATGACATTTCCACTGATAGGATTGTCAGCTTCAGAAAAAGGAAAAGAAAAAAAAAAGGTCACCCCTTAAAGATAAGAAACATGAAACAATGAAGGAACTTTGAAAATTTGATGGTGTCAGTCAGGAGGAAAAGGTATGGTGAGTGACAAAACTACTCCTCAAAGAATATTCTGGTGCATCCCTCAGATGAAGTTCCAGTTTAAACATAGTATTCCAGATCAGCACTTACAACCATGTGTTTCTGCCTCTTTCAGCATGGAGGACTAGGAAGACTAGTGTGATCAGTATGTAGAATTTTGAGTTCTGGCCAAAGGAAGTGTTGAGGGAGGGAAAGACATACATGCACACACTTTCTATTTTATTCCATAATGTCTACAATGTAGATGTTTACAGCATGATGGATGTTGGCCGAATGCAGCATAATATATATGATTTATTGTACTCTTTATTTTTGTTGATATGAAATAATTATCTCCTTTGTTATAAAATAATCTGCTCTCCTCTGTGAAGTCAGTATCACATGAATGATAAAAAACAACACATGATATTTCGTTGATGACAGGTCTAGTCTGTCATGATATAATGTAGCATTAATTCTGAAGAACATAAAAAGTACAAATAAAAGCAAACGGTTTAAAAATATTTAAAAACCTAGAAGTTACAACTAGACAATTTTGCAAATGAAAAAGGAAAAGGAACATTTCCTGAAAAGCCATCCCCTTCAGTCATAAAGCCATCTTCATACAGCTACATGAAACTCTCAGGAGAGAGAGATTGTAAATCCCTACAATAGTTAAGATCCCAATTTTTCATTCATTCCATTGTTCAAATTATAGGTATTTAGATGTATTTCTTCATTGCAGAAGTAAGCCAGCAAGTAAATATTTGCCAAATTTGTGCTAAAAATGTATTAGTTCTGAACTAGCTAGGCATAGCAATAAGTAAATACCATTGTGTGCATGTGCATGTACTTTTCCCATAGGTCTTACCTGGAATAAAATCCTAGTCCCACAGAAGTCAAGAGCAAACTTGCCATTAATTTCATTTGAGCAAGGATTTACTCTTGGCACTTCTAAACACTGTGTGTTGAATACTACTAATTTCAAGCTTGCTTGACTTGGTAGGTTTTACTGAAAATTTAAAAAGCAAATTTGAAGAAAAATACTTGTTAAGTTTTCAAGTTAGTGGGCACGTGTACATGAAACAATTCCCCTGACTAGCTTGGGAACGGAGGAGTTAACTGTGTCTTGAAGATCTGTCTGAGCACTATTAGGGGAAAACAGGCATTTCAGCAACAATGAAACCAGTTTGCCTATGTTGACAGCACCTGAAGAGATTCCCTGCTATTTCTGGTTCAAGAGAATCACTTCTGAGAAACATCATGCGAGAAAAGGAAGGTTCTCAGAGACAGAGGCCAGGTATAGACGTTGCACTTTTACTGGTATAAGTGATAAGAAACCAGCTTGTACCCATAACAGAACAGAAATTTGGCACCCATAGACTGGTTTAAAAATGGTGTAACCCAGTCTAAGATTTGCCCCTCTCCCACCAAAGGGTGAATGTGTGTTCTGTTCACTACTGATCTAAACTACACTGCTTACAGAAAACTACATAGCTTAGATTAATTCCACCTCAGGCTTCTTGAATGTCTGTACCTACCAAGAGCAGGGAAAGAAAGATAGGCAGGAGGAGAGAAATCCCAGAAACTTAAGAGAGACCACCATTGACCACCTGAGCTTGAGGGTCCATGAAATCTGCTTGCTGTGTTACTGTTGACTAATAATGGTGGTTTGTGTATAAGAAGAGCTGCCTGCTTTGCTACATGTCTTCAGGGGTAGTTTGTCCCCTTGAACAGGTAAAAAGTTACTCTCCAGGAGCTAAGCTAGAAGATAGCTGTTGGTGGAAACCATGGCAAACCAAGGCATCAGGGACAAAAGGCCAGGTCTTCTCATCCAAGAGGCTAGGAGCTCACCCTCTCTGGAAGCTATTCCTGGGCTGGTTTCAAGGGATACTCCAAAAGACTGTGCAAATCTGGGGAATTTGCTCCCATGGGAATCTGTTGTACCCTGCCACCTAAATACGTTGAACTTGTCAACTTCATATAAGCAAGTCCCATTAAAAAAAAAAAAAAATCAAGAAAGCATACCTTCAAGATGAAGTCCCTCTTGCTGAGTATATATAGGCATTGAGGTAGAAGAATGCCTCATTTATGAAACCCACTAAATAGGCCTTGGTCTGGATAGGCACTGAGCTGTTCAGTTGTCAAGATGTGGTGTTTCTGTGCATGTCCAGAACTATGTCAGCAGAATTCTAACATGGTGAATTGTAGAATATCTGGATATTAGGCATCTCTCCACTGGCTGCCAGCTGAGTGGTAGTGTGAGGATTATTGTTTCCAACTTAAGTGACATTAACTTATTAACATCCAATTTTCAAACCCTGGCCCAAGACACAAGTTGTATATAGATATAGATGCAACAATGATTAGTTAAACTGCTGTTCAGGATGCATTGACTATTTCAATTTTTTTTCCCTCCTTGCCTAAACAAAAACTAAAACACCCCTTAACCTCTTGTGATGAGCTATTCTCAGCACAGAGGTGATTTATTCGGAAAATCTGATCAAACGTCTGTTCAGTCATGTTAGAGGCAGACAAGTGTGAAATAAATGTACATTGTATAATAAAAAGTGACAATGTCTAATCTTTATAAAGCAGTGGATGGAGCTCTTCCTATATTATGGATCAGTTTTTCAATATAAGACATAAAGATTGTAGGGTAGTATAGAAATTGGTTGTCAAAAGGTAATGTGTATTCAAAGAAAATACAGCACCAGAGCCAGTTGGCAGATTCACACGCCTGAAAAGGAAGTGATGAAGGAAATCGGCAAACCCCTACATTGCATTTTTTTAAATTCACCATATCTAAGACTTTGGAAGTCTGGAAAGTGACTAATGTCACAACATTCATTGAAAAAAATGAGCGTCCTTTCTTTTAAAATGGGAAATGATAAACTAGTATTTGGATATGGGGAAGTCTTGGAAACCAATATGAGGAATGTGGCAAAAGCTCAACTGGAAAACATCCCACTCAAGGTAAAAAAAAATAAAAAATTAAAGGACATTAGAAAATTTTAAGTAGGAGGGTTGTTGTAGCCATGATGGTCCAGGCAATGTACCAAAGTCAAAGGTTTTTAGTGGTGTCTTACTTTGGACCAACTGTATAGTTGGGAGAGATGTTGGACACACTGTTGGACATAAAGTGCCCTTCTTCAGGTTTAAAAAAGAAGCAGGCACAGGCTAAGCTCTGCCCAAAAGCTTGCCCAACAACTCTCCCACCTCTATGGTTGCCCCAAATAAAGATATCACACAAAGCCTTTTCCTGAAATATTACAGTTTGTTTAGTCATTCATGATCCAAAACCACATAAAAAGCCAAATGATTTATTCCCAATTCTCCTACTAATGTGTGTGAGGCAAAGGGATTCTCCACCCCCCCCACCCCCCACCCCTCCACAATTTAGCCACCAGTTCACTAGAGCCTGAGGAGCTATTACAGGTATATGTCAGTTCACAAAATCCTGTGTCACTATGAGGCTTACACATGGCTGCTGTTTGGAGAGATATCAAGAAAAGCAGTTGTTCTCTATGTATATCCACTTTGCCTAATACCTCAACAATCAGAAAAGTCCTCTCTTGGTCAGAAGAGAGGATGCCACGGATCAGGCTTTCCTCCCTTTCCTGGTTCTCTGTGCTAATGAACCTTACCTGATACAAAGCCCAAAGTCAAAGTGATTTTACTGACTTAAAGGCTTTGTACCAGGCCCTAAATCTAAAGGCCTGCAGTTCTTTCTGTTCAACTGACAGGAGTACTTAGACTTGATTCATAAATATTCTTTTCCCATGTGGGGTTTCTAGACCTTTTTTGATCATCTCCTTTGCCTTTCTTCATAATGTCACAACTGGTAACTTTAAAATATTCAGTGACTTAACTAAAAATAAATAAATAAAAATTAAACATAAAATGACTTACCAGTAATATTTTTTTTAGATCAATGCACTTACAATTTAGCTGGTTAAGTTACTTACTTTTAAAATAAATACACCAACTGAAAGAGAAAAAGCACATCTTTCTCAGATAAATTTTCTAGCACTGATTAAATAAAGATGTGGAATCAGAGATACTTTATGTCTCAGGAGACAACCATAGTAGAATCGAGTGTGTATTTTATATGTGAATTAGAGGTAAGATGTAATGACACAGGATGAAAGGCTCATCTGTGATTTTAATAAAGAAGGGAGACAGTACTTCCCTGTGGGCCCTAGATGCAAAGGCAGAAGACTCAACTAGAATATGTGAAAAGATGCAACAAAAAAATGAAATAAATGTTTCAAAGTTGGGTGATTCCTGTTAAATTTAATTTGCATTTTACTGAGGAGAATTCTAATGCTTAGACTTTAATATATTTTTGTTAGCTTATCATGTAATGTTACAGTTGTATCATCAATAAATAGCAGAAATGATTATATATCTGTAGTATATAACATTAAGGAGAATTAAAGAATTTGAAACTCAGTACATCTCTTCAAAAAAAAAGTTGTACCTATCATCATTTGGCACTTTCCATAACTTAATATCTTTTTAAAAGTAAAGTTAATGTTTATGGTTACATTTTTATTTAAATACAATACACTGCCCACTTGATCATATAAGCTTAGTACTAATGTTTATTTTAATTGCTATCTTTTGCTATGTTATTTTTAACAATTCTCAAAAAAGGGGGCTGCTGTTTACTGCTCTTATAATACTGTTTAAATATAAAATCAGAGACAGTTTGAATGAAGTATTTGTTTTTTTCCATTTAATTAAGGGGAGGGTTCGTTAGTCATTTCCAAGGATCACTTTCTCTGAATAAAAAAAGAAATACCTTTAAAAGTAAATGACCTGAGACAAAGCAAAATGAAGGGGATGTACTGCTCAGGGAGAAAAAAAAGAATCTTGCTTTATTTGATCTTCTGAGATAATCGCACTTCTGGCCCCCTGCCAGCTAGGCTGAACACACTCATGTCTGGCCAACTCAAGTAATCTCTTGGTTCAGGTCTGAGATCTGTGATGAAAATTACAAAGCAGGGACAAAATCAAGATTCCACCTGTGATTTTATTCTGAAACTAATTTGATGGAAAGAGCAATACAATGCAAACAGCCTTTTTAGTAGAGTCTATAAAACTATGACTAGATTGAAACCAGTGCTAGTAGATGAAGATAGTTGTCATTAAAATAAGTAGGGCTTGGCAGGTGTTCATTTTTTTAAAAAGTAGCAGATATATTTTTGACAGGTAAATTGCTTTGACATGATTTTTGAAGTCTGAAGTCAAACTTTTTAAGAAGAGATTTTTAAGTAACATTATACTTTACCAGAGTCTTGCTCTGTTTTTATACCATGTGATATGCCCTCAAATATGTGGGGGTTTTGTTGTTTTTTTTTTTCATTTCCTCTCTAAGGATCTTTTTGCATTACAGGCCAACCAAACTATACAAAAAATCTCCCTCCTGCCCCCCACTTCACTGAGTAGATGGTGCAGATAAAGTCACCTAAATGCGATCTCCACAATAAACCAGATATAAAATATTGGCCTAATTAAATTTAAAGTACAAGAAATAAACATGATGCATATAGAATATATGTTTGTATACATATGTATATTTGTCTGGTATTCCAGAAAAAAAACAACCCTGCTTTTCTTTAATACCAAACAAAAGATTTCCACTTTTTTCAGATGGTTATAAACTGGATTTTTCCCTTTGAGTTTAATAAATGTTGTGCATTGTGTAGGCAACAGGATACTGCTCACCTAACATGTTAATGTAAAAAACCATAGCTATCATGAAATCCACAGAACTATTGTAATCCCAGCCAAAAAACATTGCTATCACTAAAATAAAAAAGCATCACTGTTTTTTGTGGCTGTTGGAGCCTCTTACTATTTATGGAGGAGTTAAATGTACCAACAATTACAAAGGATATATGGGATAGTTGTTTTTTGTTCTGTTAAGTTTTTTTTTTTCTTAGATGTTGCACAGAAAGATGTAATGACTCAGAAGCTGTTCTTACTGGTTTATTTTAACACTGCCAGTGGTTTGAATCTAAATTCTTAGATTTTTCTTTATGCATGCACTCAAAATTAATTGCTTTTTGGAGTATCAGAGAAGAGGAAAAGCATGTTATTTATTCAGCTACAACAAAATAACACAGCTTGCATTTTTTTGCATTTTCCAAAGAGTATATTTGTAAATTTGTACAGATGTTCTATTCCCTTTACCACTAATGAAACTTATATGCAAGGACCAGTAGGACCTGACTCCAAAGTTATTGAGAATAATGGTAACCATATGGATTGCTGCCACAATGTGTTATAAAAATTAACTTCTATCATACATTTATATTTCAGGTACATTTATATTTCAGCTACTTCAAATGGTCTACAATTTTATTTCTTCTTCAGTGATATTCTCTATGGATTTCCTATTCCGTTTGATCTTCATGTCTGCTTCTGCACTTTGTATTTCTCCCCACCAACCAGTGGTAATCAAAAGAATTCTTTAATTGCCATCTTAACCTTCTAATAGTTTAAGGCTACAACTTATATATTTCCTTTCATAATCAAAAAGAACAATTTGATATCATATAGAATCTATATTTACTAAACTCTGAACTTTAAAACACACATACGCACAGTTAAGCCATTCACACTGACATAAAATGAAAAACAAAGACATATACAGATATTCAAAGTAAATTAAACAAAAAGGTACCTACCTGGTATGAGCTGACCCAATAAATGATGGGACCTGGAGAGACTGAGTACAGCTACCACAATAAAAAAAGGATAGTGTTTCCATTTCATGATGCTTCCTTCCTTGCATTACACCAGCTCGGCAGCACTTATATAAACGTTATCTGCAAAAGAAAGTAGGAACAAGGTGGAATAAGATGAAAAATCTGCATTCATTGATAATTTGGAAGTATATTAAAATACTTTTAGCCCATTTTAACCCTGACAGAGTCAATAATTTTGATACACTTTAAAAAAAATATATTTAGCAGTATTCACAGATTTTGTTGGAATCTGACACGTCATTCTGTGAGCACTTTTGCTATAGCCTTAAACTTGTGACCACTGGTCTTTCAACTGTGCACCTTAGCATCTGTGCCACCCCAAACCTCAAAAAAGCATTAACGCTTGGATTATATAGTTAGCTATAAAATACTAACAAATCCTCATACCAAAGCAGAATGGCCTCCAAAGAGTACCTTTAAAGGTGCATGTGAGAAACTCCATTAATTTAAATCATATTGGGTGCCTATACACATGCAGTGAGGCTGCTCCAATGCACTGTAATTACAGTGCGTTGGAGAAGACTTGATTAATTGAGTCTGCTGGAGCATGGTAACTACCATGCTCCGGCAGATTCCAGTGTCATGTGTATCAGCATCCCCGCAATGAAAAATGGCAGCAGGGGCACTTTAACTAAAGCCCATCAAACGAGATTTAGTTAAAGTGCCTGTGTTGACATTTTTCAGTAGGGGATGCTGATACATATGACTCTCTGGGTCCTTTAATTAGAGTGTCTCTCAGAGATGCTCTAACTAATGCGCTTCCCTCCCCTACCCCTGAAACATGTGTAAAAATGCCCAATAGGTTTACCATGCTGCTAACTGACTCAGTTAACATGTAATCTACATATGAAATTTGACTAGATAGGCAGCTGTGTTATGGTGGTTTGACCAACAAGTCAGAGACAAAGTCAAGAAACTATAATAGAGTTTATTAAAAATAATCATAACAGATATGTTCTACTATAGACAGCTACTGCCCCTCCCTAAGTACCTTCCCAAACAGGCAAATGTAACAATTTGCAGTGCTCTAGCAACTGTCTGCTCTAGCATCTCCCCCTTTTACAACAAAGATATCCAAAACCATAACCAGATTTCAAAGATGTGAAGCATAAAGATATGTTGCAGCTCTCCCCTGTATCGATTTGCCTTTGTCCATGCCTTGCAATTGTTAGATCTGTTTTACATTAGCGCATTCTCAGTTCTTCCAAGTCTCCAATGCAGTTTCTATAATCTCCCTTGTGGAATCTTGTTGACTAGATGATCTTTTATGAGTCCTGGGATGCTCTTTCTTTCCCTCCTTTGATAACTCTAAGACCAGGTGCAGACATTACAATTTTCCAGTTTAGGTGATTAGAAACTGGTCTTTAGCCATAACAGAACAGAAGTTTGGAGCGCATAGATTGGTTTAAAAATGGTATATCCCAGTCTAAGATAGATCTGGATCAATGTAGTATCAGATTTAACTGATTTGGGTTAAACCTGTCTATTGAACTTCAGTAGCATATCCTCTCCTGACTCAACTTAGGTCATCGTCTGCCAGCATCCCCTCTCCACTAGCCTCTCCTTGTATGGAGACAAGCTAGTACCTGCTGGGTGCTCAGCTGATCTGTGCTGTGACAGACCCGAGCCATCATGGATTCAGGCAGGCAGAGAGGAGGCTTGGGCAGTGGGTACATTAGTGCTCCATACAAGCAGGGATCAGGCCCAGTATCAGCAGCAGCCAGCAAGACATGTCAGGCAGCTTAGGATGCTTGCACTAGGCAGCAGGGACACAAGTGCTTCATAAAAGGAAGGATTGGGGCCCTTAGATCCCAGTCCTCCTTTCTACAGAGCCGGGCTATCCCTAAATGGCTGTCAGGTACATGTCCCCAACCCTCTACTGTCACTGTGGACCCTTCCTATACCCATCCCTAGGCTTTCAGGACAGCCCCAGAAAGGGTCACCATGGCACATCTGGCAGCCCTGCCAGTGGCGGCAGGGGGGAGCGTACCACGGTGTCTCCCTCTGGGACTCTCTTGGAAGCCTAGGGCTGGGGAAGAGTCTGTGGTGGGAGTGAGGGGCTGGGAGTGTGTGCTTAGCAGCCAGTCAGGGATCGTCCCTGCTTGGCTGCCCTTGGCACTCTCTGCCTTGATGAGAGGCATGTGGGAACACCTCCTGCCTTCTGCCCTCATCCAGTGCCTTCCCTCCCCCCTCCCACATCTGAAGGGTGAATGTGTTTTCTGTTTGCTCCCAAGCTAATCTGTGCAGTTTGGAGAAACCCACATAGATTAGATTGATTCTGCTTCAAGCTTTTTGAACGTCTGTACTTAGTCTAAATGTCTTCTGTTCCTCCAGAACAGCTGTTGTTCCAGAGTGACAACTTGATACGACCTACGAGGTATCTGAAATGCTATTTTTGTCATTTTTTCCCATTAGATATGAGCACCATGTCCTTGGTTTGCAGTGCTGATAAATACTTACTATGCCATAGAACTATTTTTGATTAATCTTATCCCCTTCTCTTAATGCATTCAAATCTCAGGTGTCAACAATATCCTAGTATAGTAAATTAGGTAAAATGGTTCTGATCTTCCTGTGAAACTGGATTTCTACTGAAGATAATTCATGTTGTATGGGTACTGCACCAGGTACGGATCAGAATTTGTATGTTTTGCTTTCTTTAACAGTTTCTTCATAGTGCTCAGGGTTGGAAGGGACCTAAACAGATCATCAGGTCTGACCCCCTGCCCTGAGCAGGAACAAGTGTGGGGGTCATAACACCCCAGCCAAATATCTGTCCAGCCTCCAAGATCCTTGCATGCACCAGGCCAGGGGCAGGTACAGGGGACACATTCAGCCTTGAACTCACAACCATCTGGGCTCAAGCACACAAACCACAGCTTCAGACACCAAGGACAAACTAGTTGCATCCCATTTTTCACCATGCCATTGGATTGTGGATACTTGGGACACCCATATTTATATGCAAAGCCTTTAAAATCAAAACAGCTACATTTTGGGAATCCCATGTCTGGCAACTGATTTTGAGTAATGACATGACTTGTTGTATTTTCCAGTAATGTAATTTCCAGGTAGTAGGAATAGCAATTTAAGTAAACTTTTTCTTCATGCACAAATAGGTCAGCGCACAGTTGATACCAAGGAGCTAATATCTCCTCTATGACTACAATAGGTTATTTCTTCTGTGCTGAGCTGTATTTCTGACATGTTGTATAAACCTCCACAGATTATTCAATATCAGCACTCATACTGGACCAATCGTTGCTCATCTTTTTCATTTCTCAGTGCCCAAATGTCCCTCATGTATTTTATCTATCATGTTTTTCCTTAACACCATGCCTTCTGCAGGGACTGCAGTAGTTTCTGCAGGGACTGCCCACATTTAAAATTCTGGAACCTGATCACCTTTCATGTTGTTGTAGACTAAATGTTTTCCTTTTGTGTTTTTTATATTTAAATTATACAATGGCAGGTGAAAAAATGCCTCTATTTTGGGATGTGCATCTGTTAATCCCTTTTTGGCTATTGTTATCATGGTTTGTGAACAGGCTCAGCTAGAACATAAATTAACACATTTTTTTTTCAACTATATTATCAGAGCTAACATTTATCTTTCAATGTATACGTATAGACACTTTGTTTTGGTAAGTGCTCTCAAGGTATAAGACACTAGTCTGCAGGTTTTTTTTCCATATTTTTCAATGTATGCTGTCCCTATGCTTTTGTTGAGAATTCGTGGGTCCAGAGTAGATATATTTAGCTTCTGACTGCTTCCAAAAATGTAATCTCTGTTAGGAATTGAAAAGTATTCCTTTTTGATGTTTAAAAGTTATCGTTAGCATGTGCAGCATGCTGTCATATCTCCAGGTAACCCATTTGTACTTCTGGTGATCTGCTTTGCACTGAATTCTCTGCACTGTGCTTTCTGCACATTGCCTTGGGATTCTATGATTCTGTAATCCTATCCAGTTCAACTGGCTTGTCCTCCAGACTCTGTACATGTTCTGGTATGTAGCACTCTTCAAATGTTTTAGTACTCTCCCATAGTTATTATTTTGTATTTGAGAGTTGCAAAAAGATTGAGAAAAGATAGCTTCTCTGACCAGGTCTTTCTCTTTGGGTCCACTAGGCAACATACAGATAGTGAAGGTCTACTTGAATTTCTTCCTTTTTTTCTGCTGTATTGCTGGACAGCTATAAGTTCTCTGAAAGTGGCAAATGTCCCTTTTATTCCCCCTTTTCTTTACCTTGTTTTGCATTATTTGGTAGCTCACTCAATAAGTCAGAGAGCCAGAGATCAGAAACTATAATACATTTTATTGAAAGCAACCTGCTCCTACAGAATACTATTGCCAAGTGGCCCAGCTAGCGCACACACTGCCAGGGCTCCAACACTCCTTCAAGTACCTTTCAGCATCCAGTCATGTTACACTTAGGACCTGTGAACTGCATTTAAAATGTGAGTGTCCAAGCAGTAAATATTCAAGCAGTAAAACAGGTGGTAAGTGAGACTGTGTCATGCTAACTGCAATCATATTATAGCAGTTAGGACTTTTCTGGGGAGAAATATCATCAGATTATAGTAAACAACACATGCTTAATTATTATCCAACTGCTCCAAGGAGACAATACTAGCATAGCTGGCTGGTTGTCAGTCCCCAGCTGGGCATGACACTGGAGTCTTGAACCAGCTCTAGTGTGGTGCTCAGTGTGGGACCAACAAGCAGCTGATTCTCAATCCCAGTCCTGGCAATGCAGTGCACAGTAGTCTTAAACTGGCTCTGGTCTCTTATTATGTTGCGGGTTATACTTGGAGATTGTAGTAAACATTACCATATTGACTGCTCGGAACATGTTCTAACTTTTAATACAGCATGGTTACACTTACTACAATATAAATAAAACACATGCTAAGTGTCTTGTGCAACAAAGCTCTAACTGAACAGGCACATGTAACAGCTCTAACAGTATACTGCACAGCACCTAAGCAATCTAAGTATCTTTTTACAGCTACCCCTGTTTACTGGAAGCGCCTCAATATATGCTTAACCTTAAAGACT